CCGTAAATGTGCCAGATATGCGGCGCCAATACATCGCTTCTTACACTCTAAATTAATAAATTAAGCTATCTCCCTCGTAATAGTTAAAGACGTTTACAACGTTTATTTCTCTTATCTGGGTTTACATGTGTTACACGAAATTATAAATATATAGAGTAACGCAGGCTAGTAACGAAAAAGAATACAGAAACTAGTTCCCAAACATTTTAGCCCTAAGTGGTAATCAGAAATACTAGGTACTTTCCAATGAGCTCATTAAAGTTTAAAGATTTTTAGTGTATCACGAACTACATGCAGTCCCGTGACTGTAAAGTGTTCGAAACGGGAATCCAAATCACAATTACTGAACGTGAAAGATTCCGAAATCCTATTTTTGTTTAACAATGAGCAAATAACAATGTCCAAATGTGACAGGCGGTGAGTACATCGCCTTAAAACGTACACTGACTTAGTACCCTGAAAAACCACCGGCTGCTAAGAAAACATCTTGGGGATTAGAAACCGTAACCTCTGAAATGAGACTAGATAATTAGGCTTTATTTTACTCGTGAATTTGAACCAACAATTCCTTTCAAAGGCGGATTGTTTCATTACCGTTATCGTATTTTGAACAGTATTGTTTCTTAAACAACGCAGAATAAATACATTTATTATTCTACACAGTTTACAACGAAACTCCATCCGTTTTCGGTTGAATTTCATTAATAAGCTTTCCACATCACCTGACCGCGTTCGCCGCAGGTCTTGGGTGCTAACCGAGAGGTATTCATTCGCAACACGTTTTACGAACAAATCATTTGAAGGGAGCCGTATGTTTTCTAATTAAACAATAACTACGTCATCTTAATTTTATGCTGTGGTAGGACCGCGCGATAGTGTTCGCTGTTGCACGAATAGGCAGGTCCGGGTAAGTACCGGCGTAAAGTGGACGTGTCATACTTCTGCGTTTCGTTTGGCGAGTGAGGTAGCCGGGGCCCACTTTATTAAAAGGTCGCAACGCATCTATTACCCTTCGGGTGTTGCAAATGTCCATGGGCGGTGGTTACAACTTATCATCAGGTGAACCGCTCGTTTGCCGGTTTCTCAGGTGAAATAAAGATATGCATCTTTATTTACATTAAATAAGCATAGAAATTTCTACTATTATGAGCAAGGAAACAGTAATATCCATTGATCTAACTAATACCTCATCTAACACCCACCATCACTGCTCTAACTAATAATCATCAGCTATATTGTCTTCTTTGTTTGTCCCTACGTATAATTCATGACAGGTATGGTGAAAGTATTTTATTTATAACTAGTAATTTATTTTCGGTTGTAATATTACTGTATCGCGGATACACTCACCTCAAGCATGTAATTCAGTTGTGAAACGTTTTTGTTACGACAAAATATAAATCTATCTGTTAATGTGTCTGTAATCTGTCTGGTAGGTAAAACATAAATTGGAAAGAATTCTTTTGTTATTAATGATACTTAGAATAGTTTAGTACGCATTTAAATAACTTGAAATAATTAACACACCATAAACTGAAATATTAGATTAAAATAATTAAATTAAATTCACAGCACCATACACGAAAATCATCTTAGCAATGTTATAACTAACATGGATTTATACGTTAGGTGCTTAATTAAAGGAAAATAATGTTCATAACGTAGAAGCTAATTAAAATTGCGCAATGTATTATGTTTCAAATTTGTATCCAATTGTTTAATTTAAATTAATATATGTCAAAACATAATTTCTACGAAATAAAACACTTTTCACACACGCACTATTCATTATTGGTGTTAACTTTCGTAATTTTAGCTATTTTAATATATAAAATAGCATATTTAGCATTTAAAGCACAAAAATATGTCATTTAAAAATCAACTTTTTAACTTTGCTCCCCTAAGGTCTGGTTACAATATTCAATCTACGGATAGATTTGGTTACTGGAGATAGAATTTTAACATGAGTACTCGTATCATGGAGCTAATATCAAATAACCATAGTAACCAAATCTCTCTGTAGATAGAATATTGAAACCATCTGTAAAGTGGTCTCTAATGAGAATGAAGTATCATATATAAATTGACACTTTTGAAATGAAGTTCATTATTAATTTGAAAAGTTCCACTATTAAAATTATGACTTTTGTAAACAAATGTACCACTTGCAGTGCTGCGGGATTCGAATCTGTATTTTGGCGTGTCGCGCCCAGACGCTTTACCAACTAAGTTAAGCGGCGTTATCGGCATTTTTCTACGTGTTTACTGTGTTTTTAGGCAATGAAGTAGGCAGTAAGATCATGAAACAGCGAAGACTGTTTCGTCATGTCGTTATTCGTTTGCATCTTTTCTCAAAAATCTGAAATATACGCACGAGGATAAAAAAAAACTCACACAGCCACATTGTTTCCATCTCGCCTTAAGCCTTGAAAATAAAGGATTACTTATGGCCCTTCCTCTAAGGATCATTTGTTAAAATTAGCTTTATAAAAGTGCAAATGTGTTTCGAATCCTGTTGAATGGAACAAAATGGACGTCGGCCCTCCTCTTCGCTTTAGCGCATAATATATTTTCATTTGGAGAGCACGTTGTCTCCGCCTTTAGCGATTTCCATGGAGATATTTTTATAGAACTGTAAATGGGTGTGGATTCTTTTTATTTAAATTATTTAGATGTACGAGTAGTGTACGCATAAGAGTTATCGATAAATAGGGACATAAATATTACAGTAAAACATAAGTCACTAATTATTAGACAAAAACTGGCCCGTACATATATATATATACATGTATATATATATATATATATCATATATATATATGTGTGTGTGTGTGTTTATCTAAACGAATTAACTTAGTAAAAGCCTGTGCACTGTTGGAGACATTATAAACGGATACAAAAACTGATGTGGCGAAATGATTTTTTGATGTTCATTCCTCCAATTGTCATCATAAATGAATGCAGAGTCCGTATTCGTAATTTTTGCTTTTAGAGTGCATATTAATTCAGTAACATGCCTGAAAATGTTATATTTAATGGAATATTATTATACTATTTATTTATTATACTGTATTCAATCAATCAATTTGTTATTTTTGAAGATTGTTTATTTCAATACAAAACATGGATACCGATGCGAAAACATCTTTTTGTTTCAGGGTCATCATCACCGTTTCTACACGGACAGCCTTTCACAGACTGCAAACATTCCATTGTAGGATAAACCCCTTAAGAAGGAGATGACCTGTGCAAATATGTGGGAAGTGTGATGTACGTCAAGCGTATATAAGCATAAGAGTTAAAGATAAATAGAGACATAAAGGTTATAGTTAAATAAAATTCTGCAAATGTCATCATGAAATGAATGCAGAGTCCGTAACTATATCCGTATATTTAACTGTCGTATGTTAACACGATTCGTAAATATTGTAAATGAAGTTATAAAAAATGCAATTTGCATTACAGAAAAATACTAGTTTCCTACGTCCTTTGCTTCGAGTTCAGCGATATGAATCCACTTTAGACATGTCCGCGGTCGATTCTTTGATGTGGTTGGAAATACGTCGTTCCATAAATTGGATCCATTCGGCTCGACTCTTGTAAACATTTTTTCAATGTAATCATCTTAGATATTCTAAGAATAGATAGGCATAGCCGGTAGGTAAAAGCCGATTACGGAAATATCCACAGAATGAGACGATTCGAAGTAAAAATAGTACAATATTTTTGTTTCAATTTCATTACACTAATGTAGTTAATATTGTCTACGTTTAACTGAATTTATTACATCTTCATCAATTTGAGAAAATATCTTATGTACTGTTTGAATAATGAATTATGACTATATTTGTGAACTTTTAAATTTGATGACATGAAACGATACCTACTCACTCGTTACACTAAGCTCGTAATTGAAACTTTCGTGAATATTTTGGATAGCTAGGCGTAGATCTCGTATACGGTTTTCAGCTCATAGCTGCATAGAATTATATACATACGCTGTATTGCCTCAAGCTAAGTTTCACAAACAAATATAAACGGGAAGTCTTAGAGACATTAACATTCATCGTCGCACCCGCAAACTAAAATAAACCCAACTGAAGGCGTTGAGAACTTCTCGCACGGAAACCCGAAGAAAACAAAAATCCTAGACAGACACTAAATGTTTAGTAATTTAAATTAAAATTAAACTTTTGAACAACGTATCCGGTATACGGTTCGCAATTCCTTTCTCATATCTACCATACGCTGGTTAATTGTTACTACGCTGGATAACTGTTACTAAGACTTTGTTTCCTTTCACGATTATATCCATACTCGGCTAATGTTCTTCATATCACAAGTATCTTATATAGAATACAATAAAAAGTAATCGTAATTTTTTTTATTACGGTTAAAATTTATCGTAGATGATATAAAATTTACATTACAAAAGATTTAATCAGTTGAACCAGTTGTTTAAAAGGTTTCTTATTTTATGTAATTTTTTTTCTATTCGAAACTGGCTGACGGTTGACTCTCATCCCATCTGATGAGAGTGGCGAAGCAGCCTTTGATGGTAAGCGCGCTAGCACAATAAAAACCTATTTATATTATACTAGCGACCCGCCCCGGCTTCGCACGGGTGCAATGTATTATACATATAAACCTTCCTCTTGAATCACTCTCTCTAGTAAAAAACCATCAAGATCCGTTGAGTAGTTTTAAAGATCTAAGTATAGGGACAGACAGACAGCGAGACGACTTTGTTTTATGCAATGTTGTGATGATTTCCATCTTTCATTTTGTAATACTTAAGAAGCAGTCTTACACGCATGAGCACATGCGCGGCCCTACCCACAGCGGATGGCCCAAACCTGTGGGTTCTGGCTAGCCCACCGGTTCTGCGTCAGATGAAGCTTTAATAGTCTCGGGACTGAAAGCAAAAACATCAGTTAATACAAGATACAAGATACAGCAGTCTTACTATCAATAAACACTTAGCAAAAGAATGCACTCACCTCCCCTTAACTCGCAAAGGAGAGTAAAGTTTCCCCCTTCTTCTAATGGGCCTACTACGCCGGCAACGTCCCTCCCGTCTTCGTCGTACAACAACAGCTGGTGCGGAGGCACTAGAGGCAAAAAAATACATACATTAACATATTTCATTTCAACAAATTTCATTTAAATGTAACGAATAATCGTAGTCGTGTCATTTGTCATGTAAATTTGTAATAATAATAATTAATATAGAACTGACTGACCACTTATCATTTTGAGAAACATTATCAAAGATAATGGTTTATTAAAAAAATGTGTTTATCCAATTTTAAGTTACTTCCATACAGAAGAATTATTTGTATACGTATGATTGTGATGGCATGCTTTATTATAACATCACCAAAATTTGCTAAAACTTTTAATGAGGCAGTGACTTCGTAATCACACGCACTTATCCCTCAATAACATCACGTTCATAAGAGGCGACTGACTGTGCAATCAAACAATAAAATTGCTGATTTTAGTAGAACGATTTGCGTTGCAAATAACATTCGGTCATTATTTACGAGGTAGGAAATCAACGAGCTCACCGACGACGTTCAGACGAATCTGGAAGTTCCTAGTTGGTGAGTTCTTGAAGTCCACCCGGCAGCGGTAGATGCCCTCGTCGTCCAGCTGTACGGCTTCGACGGTGAGCGATGACGGTCGGGACATGGTGACGAAGTAGGCGCGCCTGCCGAACGCCAAGGGGTCTGACCAGTGCAGCGCCTTGTTGAAGCTTCTGCCGCGCACGTCGAAACTGCGGAAAACACGCTGATATTAACGCGCATGGTTTACCTATAATCATCCTCCTACCCTTATCCCACCTAGGTTCGGTAACACACGTGAATCATATTGTATGTTGTTTTGGCTAGGTTACCGTAGTTACCGGCGGCCTAGACTGCGCTCACTCGCTGTCGATGAGTGGGGGCAGAAGCTGGTTATGGCACCCCACATACTAGGCGAATTAGGACACGGCTGTTTTGGGAGGTACCTGTGCCGCTTCCCGGGGAGGGAACTAACAGCAGGATGCCATCACTGCGACGTATGTGCCGAGGAGACGGCCCACCACACACTAGATGATTGCCCAGCCGGGCGGGAGCTATATCGTGGGACACGATCTCTCTTTAGGCCACGGAGAGAGAAAGGAAGGCAACTGCCACCCTGGATATCCGCCTCCGGAGACCAGGGCGCATGAGGCTGGCCTACGCAATACCCTCCCCCCCTGGTAGCCAACTTCGGCGCGGTAAATGTGGGATTAACTGCTGGCGCGCGGAGGGCTCGAGAGGGCCGCCGTGTCCATTGGTCAAGTGGCTGGAGTCTTAACACCCGGAAAGAAGAGCCGAGGATGATTTCATTTTCGTGTTCCCGTGTCCTCGACAAAAGCGATAGCGATGGTGCAACGTGAGTTTTTTAGAGGATATCCTCGTGTTCCTCGGGAAATCCCAACTACCCTTGCAGCCTTCTCAGCGATTTTCCAAATAAAAAATACGATACCCTCCTTGGAAACAAACACACAGATCCGAAAGAATTATCTGTGGGTTACACAAATACTTGTCCCGTCCAATAAAAATCAACTAACTGTTACTGTAAAAAATATTTTGTCTCACTAAGAATACTAGTCGATTTTTTGCCAAATGTTGAATGGATTAATTTGAAACGATCATTAAAAGTTTATTTTATGTAATTAAAATTTACCTTAATTTAAAACTTCATACTACATAAACAGCAGTTCGCCTCTGAACCTTCTGTAGTGTAATCCATCGACTGTATGACAGTTATGGAGTTTTTCTTGCTCCGTATGCTATTTTAACCATATATAACAAAAGACGCTCTAGAAAGCGATTGGGCGGAAATCGAAACGAATGGATAATGTCACGTGATCCACGGTTATGACATCGTTCTTGGAATCATCCCACGTAGTGGTAAAGCTCTATTGCTTCGGGCTTGTATAATGACACATATATATTTGTGTATACACACGACGTATAAAATATATTATATATTGAATCTGTATATTTTAACCTCACAACCACACAATGTGTTTGTGTAAATGGATCGTGTTTTAGAGTACTTACTCATCAAAAACAAAGTACTACTTCAACATGCATTTATGTTACGCAACGTGTTTTTACGACGTTTTTACTGAAATGATAGCATAACACCCACCACTCATAAATTGGGAGATATTTGTATAAAATTACTTATTGTATATATGTATATTAATTTATTACATATTACTTATTGTATATATATATTAATTTATTGTATATTAAGTAACCATATAATATTTTTATACGAGAATTTCTTTTATATGTCACCCTATTTAAGAAAAATATGGATTAAATAAATAATTGGACGCACAGATAGTTTTTCTAAAAAGAATCAGATGTTTATTTTATATCATTTAAAAATATTATTGATATAACATATTAACGTTTTAAGTATGGTCATCTATACCTGATTTAACCGCAACCAGCTTTTGATTTATTTATTTATTTATTTATTTATACTTTATGCACAAGCTGTACAGAGGCGGACTTAATGCCACAGGCATTATCTCCCAGTCAACCGATTGTGTTGTAGAAATTGTAATCACAACATAAACAGTAATCCTTGTAGCTCCGCTTAAGAATTATATAATTATACAATTAGATAAAACTTTGTTACAGTCCAACTCGTTGAGGTATAAAGAAGTGTGTGCATGTAGGTATGTGTAATTAATCTTGAGAGGTAAATTATAATAAACAAAAAAAATCATTACGTAATACGTATAATGATTTCTTGTAGTTATGCTAAACTGGTTATTCCTATTTCTGTCAGTAAGAGGAATACGATGCGTATAAATAAATCTATTCGTGTCATTATTTTTTACACATTTATTTTTTCACTTTTTTCTATACCAGATCATTGCTTTCTTTATTTTTTATTTTTTTTATTTCCAAAATACACGATCTACTAAAAAGAAATCCGAGCAAAGCTCGGTCCTTCAGGTACTAATTAAACTATTTTTAAATAGATAAATAAAATCATTTAATTAATCACTAGGCATTAGTTTATCTTTAGAGAATATTATTCATAACTTGGTGTACAGTGCACCATCTTACTTCATTACTTTGATATTTTAATTATTATTGTTTATCTAGTCTATAATCCTGTCGGCACTAATAGGTTTTACATGTAAATTCCTACCGATCCACTACTATTAAGGTCTGCAATACGATGGAGTACATTAAATAAGTAAATGCGGGTATGTAGAATCCGGAGAAGCGTCGTAAACGGAGAGGTTTTAATGATGCAAAATAACATATCCGAACGGTGTTTCGAGTATTTCCAAGAGCGCCGCGGTGAATATTCTAGCATTACTATTAATGTGAAACGGGGTTTACGCCGGCGGCTCTCGAAATAGTTTCTGCCGAAATAGTTCAAACATCCATTACTTAGATACGCCACCCTATCGACTGAGACGTCCACCAAAGATCTGCGGTCATGGGTTCGAATTACAGTATTAAGCTAAACGATGGCGGAACTATAACTTGGTCTAATACATAAAGTTCTAAGTGAAAACTAGCAAATAAATGCAACGATAAGATTGCTGCTTGTCAAGCTTGGAATCTTATGTGATCAATAAATAGTCCATTTTTCTAGCTATCTCCTTTTTTATGTGAAAAGTTTTCAAACGAGCAGGTGGTGAAACTGGTGTTAAGAGAATTCCGCCAGCTATGAGCATCTACAACACCTGAGGACTTAGATGCTTAGATGCTTAGAGGCAACCTTCATAAATATTATTTTATTAATTCATTATTTATTTAAACGATAACAATAAACAAAACCCTGCAATGAAATCACTAATAGTTTACTTTTATGTTTAATTGTTGATATGGACTGAATGGATAGAGAATATAGAACACATACAAAAACTTAAATGTGAGTTCAATGGCTTTTTACATTAAATAGGAGTGATTGATGGATATTCATTAATATCCCAAACGGAAAATAGACTGAATTTTATACGGAAAAAAGGAAATTTTATTAATTGCAAATCTACCATTACTGTTGCATACAGGGAACTACGACTTTGGTCCTCTACGGGACCAGTAGTAGCAGTATTAGTAACCATATTGTCCATAAGTGTAGCAAGCTGGAGTGGCAGTGGGCTGGCCACATTAGCCGTAGAACCGATGAGCGTTGGAGCAGGCGGGATCTCGAATGGAGACCACGTCTCCGAAAAGATAGTGTCGGACGTCCCCTTGCCAGGTGGACCGATGACCTGAGAAAGGTCTCTGGTAGCGGCTGGATGAGGAAAGCGGAGGATCGCTTTGGTGGCCTATTTCTAGCAGTGGACTGCAAAAGGCTGATTGGATTAAATTGGACAGGGAACATATTAACTCAATAAAAGACAATTATTGGGTCTTGCCTTTAACACACATCGAAATGCACACACATTCCAAAGGCGAATGCCGAGGAATATTAATAAAAACCTTCAAACCATGTTAGTATTAAAATAATAAATATTAAAAGGCAACACAAAATCTACTCCAATATTTGAAAGTTTCCTCTACACTATATAGTTTACACAAACATTTGTTTGTTTTAGTGCTCGTCCAACTATCTCGAACTAGATTAAAGTAGATTCCTCCAGATATCATTACACAAACCGTTTCCGCGTGGTTTCTGTAGTAGGGTTTACAAAGCCCTTGAATAAAATCGCGATAAGGTTGGAACCGAAGCTTTTCAGCGGAGTTCAACAAAATTTCGACTTCTCAATGCACACTATTTATCAATATTTACACACGTATGCTCCATATATTATCTAGTCTATGAATTTTAACCAGACAAGTGAAATCAGGTGGGTTTGGTAACTGGCTGGCTTTGATGGTTAATTTGATAGGTGTAAAATAACCGTCATTTATGTTATTTTTTATGTAGTAACCTGGCGGTTCACCCGATGTTTTGTTATAATCGCTGCTCGTGGACACGTGTGACACCCGTTAGGTTGCAGATGCGTTGCCACGCTTAATAAGGTGGTCCTCGGCTACCTCACTCACCAGACAAAACGTAACACTGCTACTTCACGCCGGTCTTCTGTTCTGTCGTGGTATCTGCCCTTTCGTGCCCTGCACAGCAGAATCTGTTCCGTGGCCCTACCACAGTTAATAACAGATTTCCGGCTGGTATTACTCCTGATGCAAACAGGGAGATATCATGGCACCACCACATAGGTAATCCTCTTTACGAAATAAAAGGTTGTACAAATATTAGTCAACCCTATTCTCAGTAATTCACACTTCAAATCAATCCATAAACAGAATCTTCATGTTAAACAAAACAATAATGAATAAAGTCCATTCATACGGTGTATTCTGAGCCAGTAGTTTGGTAACTAGTGATTTAACGGAGCCATTCAATGCACTAGGATTGCGGTTAGTTACCCGAGACCGAGCCAACGAGCCGTCATGGTTGCCCAATGTACGTTACGGCAAATCGATGGCCACAAATGTTTCTTGTGTAAGCCAAACTAGCGATGGAAACTTAATACTACACGTGGACAACGTAGCGAATAAATAATTAAAGACGGCAAAATCTTTACAAATATTGAACCGTATACCGTATATTACCGTCTTAAAGGATAATGCTTACCTTTTAAAGTAGTTTCAGATATAATATGAAGTTTTTGTATCTTATATCCATACAATAAGTGTCCTTTATTTCCTCGATAAAAGTATAGCCGTATAACTGTGCCCAGTTTACGAATTCCGA